CATCCTCTCCGCGCTGCGCTCTCTCCCGCTAGGGTCCTGCTGGCCCACGAGACGCACTTTCACTGTGTTGATGATTTTCAATAAAGGCTTTGCGGGGGTTCCGCAGACGCTTCATAACACTTAACATGTTTTCGAATAATCATATAAATTAAAGGTTGGCTTACGTTTGGAACCCCTAATTATCCAGTTCACGTTTGCACATTTATGTGCCATTTATAGGTCTTTGGGAGATCCAGCAGCATCCCCACCCCCTGAATTAGCACCCATTGTTTTTATTATCTCAGAGTTGAGCAGTGCTGGAAGGAACCCTGAAAGGTAGAGGCTAAGGGGAGTGGAGGAGGTTAGAGGGAGTGCTAGCACTCCCCCATGCCCACTCCTCCACTCCCCATCCTGACAAGGCTTGGTGACAATTCTGGAAACTGAAAGGGATCAGAGATTTCCCTGATTTCCCATTGAGAAGGGCGACCTAATCAAAGCTGTAGAAAAGTCAACTTCTAAGCAATCAGAAATTGTCTGCTGATGTCCTCGATTGAAAGAAACCCTAGCATTCAAATGGAGTATTGAAGAACTCGCAGAAATGGCTTTTGAAGCGCTATTGTTCTTTTCCATACACAGAGGCCCTCTTAAAGGTTTAGGAAGTTCAAGATGCGGTGATTTGAAAGGGCTGCCTTGTAACTATTTGGCGACGCTGTGGGGAGGAGAGAAGAGGCCAAGGTAGGAAGCTCAAATGCATTGCTCAGGTCTTCTTGGGACCGCTGTGGCTCTCAGGCGGGAATTCAGTTCTAGACATCAACTTGGCAGTTCAATCTCTTCCCGGAACGGATTTAGAGGACGATTTGGGTAGTAGGGTTCTTGTTTTGATGGTTTGCTTAAGGTCTGAATAGGCATATCTGAAACATTTAATCATGTGCATTGTATTCAACAATAAAATCTGAATAAAAATTACCGATTGTTGAGGGAGCTATCTTTCAAGCTGTTTCCCAGTGTGTCTCATTTGCAAGACACCATTGTGCTAGAACTGCGGGGAGGGGGGTGATCCTATCAGGAATTGTTCATTTCCTCCTCCCAGAGGCAGAGAGGAATACGCTTCTTTGCTCCCCTTTGCCTTCCCGAGAAATTTTTCTTAAATGGGTGGGTGTTTGGGTTGGTACTTGACAGTACCCATCTGAACGGGGGCGGCGTTTGGTGGATCTCCAGGGAGGCTTGCAGCCACCCTGCAGGCAGTCTAAGAATTTATTTGAGGCAGCGTTTCATTTTGATAATTTACTCAAGCCCAACATTTTGTTTTTGCAGAGATTTAATCCTCCTCTTAAGCTAATAAAGCAAACAAAGCAAGAAAATCTCAGTTGCGTCTTTTAGATGGCCCTGTAAAAATAGCATACGTTCAAGGGTGTTGTCAGGAACTTTGAGTGTTGTTCAGAACTTAACGGTGGCTGCAGAGACTGTTTCCGTTAAGCAAACTGAGGATCAAGCGCTTCTCCTCGACCCCAGGCTCATCATCTGCAAAACAGGGACAATTATTATTCACCTTGTAGGTCTTTGGCAAATTCATAGCAAAAATCCCATCCATGAGTGCTTTGGCACATAGGAGGATTTCAAGACAATGGTAACTTTTCGTAGTAAGACAGAATTCTGTCAAGGAAAGTGGAAAGCATTTGCAGTTTGAAGGCCAGGACTGAATCCAGGTGCTGCCTTTGGGATGTTTGGCAAGTCACCTCTCCTATTAATAAAAATAAGAATCATTAACCTTTATGGAGTACTTAGTGTCAGGGACCCTTCTAGCCACTTTATACACATGAATGTGCTTAATCTTTCAATGACCCTACTAAGCACACACTGGCAGTCATTCCCACGGATAGATTAGGGATCTGGAGCACAGGGAGATTTGGCAGTTGGGTTTCTATTGCTTAGCAAGTGACACCCAGAACCAGGACTGAAACCCACGCATTCTGGTTCCAGGGCCCACCCTAAGCACATGCTTTGCCCCCTGTGAAGGGGGCAGTGATCCTAGCCTTCTCTCAGCTTGTTTGTACAATGGACAAAAATGAAATAGTAAGACATCTTGCAGAAGCAAGCCACAGATTTTCCCCCACTTTATATGCTAATGACGCACAATGGTTGATGTTTTCTTGCTGACAGGGTACGGGGGCTGATGCATTGGGCAGGCATTTTGAGTACGTGGGACTTTGTGACAGTTTTCAACAGGTATTGGTGGTATCTGTTCACATCTACCTGTGTGTGTGTGAAAATATTTATTAATTAATTGTAAGTAACTGATTAGGCAATTGGTCGGTAATGCAGACACTATATTCGTGTTATCAGTTACTAGCTGAGGTAAGCAGAACTTCTCAGACTAAAAGGTAAGAATAACAGGTAGTAAGAAGTTTGACCTTGGCTGCTGGGTCACCTGGCTTCAGACTTTGGCTCCCAGAGCTTGGCAAGGTCTGTGGCCGTGGCTAGCTCATCTGACTTCTGTCTCTCATTCTCAGTATAGTAAAGTGACAGTGCCTATATCATCAGATTGTTGTGCAGATTACCAGAATTAATACAGGGTGCTTAGAACAGTACCTTTCATTTAGTATGTGATGTCCCTTTGCTATTAATGCATTGTCTTCAACTGAGATAAAGCCCTTCCCCATGATAATACAATAAGGCTTGTTTGTTCTTTGGGTGTTTGTTTTGCTAACCAGGGATTAGAGAGCAAGAGACCCGGTTCAGGATTTCAGAAAACATTTTTTTTCTTTTGTTCTCTTCCATTGGAAATGGTTTCTTGAATGTTACCACTTTTTGAAAGGGAGTTGGGGGTGGTAATGCCATGCTAAACATCTCTATGTCACTGTCCTTTCCAGTGCTTATTTTAAGGAAAATCAAATAACTGTGAGGGATTGAATCCTGCAGGTGGATTAGTGAACATCCCCAGTTTACAGATTGTAAAAACAAGTGGGAACTGGGCAGGTGCATAACTCTAGAACCCAGAAGCCCCCATCCCAACTCTGAATTCTTGGACTCCTTTTCCAGTGAGGCTCCCATTAGGCCAGATTGTCTCCTCTACCAGGATAGAGAAGTGGCTTGAAAATAGAAATACAACTTGGCAAGGAAGGTGTTGTGGGGCTAAGAGCACGAGCCAGCCAGACATTCTGTACTGAGGAGTTGTCAGTAGGAAATTTGCGTTTAGATCCTTGCAAACCTTCCCTGCACTCTGTCCATGAAATGTGTGTCAGGGTATGAACTTGTGTACACACAAACAAAACAGCACACCCTAGTATGCCAATTAATCACCTGAACATTTCCCCGAGGTTGGAGAGCCAATGTTCAGGTTTCTTTTTCTGTCACATTCAATTTGTATTTGTTCTTTCATTTAGTCCTCAGATACAGGCAGGTTTTGGTTCAGGAGTCATAAAACTCCTCTGGCTTCTATTTCATGCAATATGCAGCATATTCTCTTGGAAAGAAATTGCCAGCTTGCTTTTATTATGATTATTTTATTTTATTTGAACCTGACGTACAACCAATCTACAATGCCAGTGGGGGAGTCTCATAAAACGAAAGGAAGACAGAAATAAAATTCTGTTGAATAGAAGTGCTCACAGCTAAAATGACGAAAGTTTGGACATGCAAGGTGGGCTGTTTAGCTTAGGGAATAAAAAGGAGGGTTGGACCCTTTCAGATGGCTGTACCTAGCGCCGAGCCTCAAGTCAGCAAACCCACCACTTTCAGTGAGTTTTTCAAACTCCCTGCCCCCTACAGCTGGTCCAGCCTATATACTGAGTTCTGTTTCTATTTCCTGGTCTCTGTCATTCCACTGGATCATGATCTGGAGGTGACTGTCATCTCCTTCTTTGCTGTTTGCCTCTGTTTCTCCTTGTTTCCATCTCAGTCTGTCTCCATCCGTCTTTCTATTTATTGTTATTAATCTTAGAAGTGAAAAATCTTAAGTTTAAGTGCCCCCCACGGGCATTTGTGTATGTTAAAATTGGATCTCGAATCATGAGCTTTTGAGAGGTTGACAACTGAAATCTGAATACGGCAAGTAAGCTTGGGCCTTGGGGAGCTGATCAGGACTGGAAAATGTCATCAGAGTTGGAAGCCCCATGATGGAACCCTGGTGGCTTTACAAAAAGAGGGAGCAAGACCAGAGATGCACGTGTGTGCACTTCTTTTCCCTTGCCACGTGAGTCCCTGTACCACTTCAGTGCTCTTCGCCTACGAAGGTGATCGCTGGATATGGCCCCTGGACCTTGGGCCACAGAAACTGAGTCAAAATAAACTTCTTTTCATTGCCACGTACCTATCCTGTGGTACTGTACTATAGAAAATGGACAGGCAGGAGTATCTGGGATATGAAGGAAGAAGATGCTGGGAATACATGTAAGCATCACTGCTGTGGCCGCTCGTGTTTATTAAGTACCTACTGTGGACCAGGTCTGCCTCTGTGCTGGGTATTGTGAATCATACCCAAGAATGGAGAGGTGCAGTCTGCTCTCCAGGTATCTGGCCTTGTGTTGAAGTAAGTGCTGCAGCATAAACTGTGCCACAGAAAATACCTAGAAGCTCTGGAGAGCCATCCAGACAGAGAAGGCTGCACAGGAGACTTTGCATTTCAGCTGAGTCTTCAAGGTGGACTAGGGCTTTCCCAGGGCTTAAAGGGAATCCAGCACGAAAGAACAGCATGGCACAGACACTCAGCCAAGAAGGTTTGTTACTGGGTTAGGAAGCAGCACACTTGGATGTGGTCAAAGTGTAGAATAGATAGTCGAAGTGGGCTTTATATAGAGTATTTACCAAACTGAATTCCAGAGAACACTCACCCCCCCCCCCCCCCCCCCGCAAGCTAGTTGTATTGAAAAAGAAAGATGGCTCAGTGAGAGAGTTCCATGCTGAACAAGTTTTAGAAATGTGATGAACTGGATATCCTGCTCTTAGTAAATTATGGTATGTACTGACATGTTAAAGGTTTAGAGATTTTCTGCAGCAAAGAAATTTGTTTAGCCGGGTGTGGTGGCCCACACCTGTAATCCCAGCACCCAGGAGGCTGAGGCAGGAGGAAGGCAGCCTATGCTACATAGTGAGTTCAAGGTCAGCCTGAACTATGTAGCAAGACTGTCTCACAACAACACCCCCAAAGAAATAAAAGTAAACTTGTTTAACTAAGAATTTTCTAAACTCATTTGCATTATGTGTTAGTCAAAGTATGTTGCCGTGAAAAAAAATGTTTGCCTGAGCCTTTCCTACTTAAATGGGGAAGATTTGATTTGGCGCTTATAGTTTTAGAGGATTCAGTCCATGACCATTTATTGCTTTGGGCCTTGGTGAGGCAAAATGAGAGAGCAGAGAGCACATGGTGGAGCAGAGCTCTTCACCACATTGTGAAGGGAAAGCCCCTGTCTCGGGATCCTCATCAGTGGAATCACCCCAGGATGGACTTCCTTCCACGAAACCCACCTCTTCGACTTCCTCCCAGCTCCCAGCAGCGCCTGGATGGCCTCAGAGTCTTTGGCATGTAGCCCAGTGAGGGACAAGTCAGATCTAACCCTGGCACTAAACCCTTTGATTCCATGAAGCAACTTGCAGTGTCTTATGAGGTAGACAGGGAAAATGGTTGGTAGAAAATCACTTAAGATTTTTAGAAACTTTTGCCATAAAAGTAATGGATGTGATTTGAAATAGGATAGGCTAGGATAGGATATATAATCAGGACAAAAAGTTTACATAGTAATTCAATAGAACACTCTGTACTTACTGCTCTACTACTGAAATAGAACTTCAAATACAATAGTCACTTCTTCCTGATCGTATCTCTCTTCTGCCAGATGGAATCATTACTCTAAATTTGATGTTCATCAGTCACATAATTCCTTAGACAGTGCTTTTCAGAAGAACAACAATCACCTGTTCTGGGTCATTTCGATGTCCTAGTGACATCTTTTAGAATCATGAACAGTAATTATCCAGATTGGTCCTCTGATAGTTGACTCAGTGGAGCTGTCCACTTCCACTGCAGAAGAAGTTGTAAATATAAACGCCTTCAGTGAAAAAGGACATTTATAAGTTACAATGCTAATTAATTACTCTGTACTCTGACACTAAATACTTCGAAGGTTTATGAGGGTCCTATCCTTGGAGTCCTCAAGATATAACTTATTTCTGCAACAGAGTCTTGCGGTTAGCACTCTTATGACAACCTGAGTATCTCTCTTGATACGTATGTGAGGACATCCTCCTGAAAAAGTTCACTCCATCTAAAGCACGAATCATGTTTGTGTGACATTTTTTGTTCTCATGATCCTACCTATATCCGTGTGTTCCTACTGTATGCACATCACTGTGTGGAATGCATGGCAATATTGTGGTAAAGAATACATGCTAGAAAGAATGAGAGAAGAAAGGAAGAGGACTTACAAGCTCACTGGGGTTGGCTTTTGGTACTGAATCATGGCTTTCTGGGAGATCACAGATGAGCCTTTCTCATGGGCATAGAAGGTAATCATACTGAGGAGCTACTAGATTTTTCTGTCTTCGTTTTTTCTGGAAGATTTCCCCTAGGAGTTTGGGAAGTGGTGATTACATTCCAGAAGTTAGCAGCAAGAGTGAACTTTGTGCTGTGAGTGGTCATAAATATAACAAAAAGCACACAGGTAAGGAAGAGATGCTGTGTGCAGCTACTCCCTGGCGATTCCTCAGTGGTTTTTGTGCTCTGTGACAGTGGCATGTGATCAGGCTTGAACTGTGGCCACAGTACTAAATGCATCCTCACAGAAGTTCTAAACATAAACCACAGCCATCCATATTTACTCAGAAGTGCCAGTAATTCAATCATGGATCAAGTCAAGCCGGGCCAACCCCACACTGCATCTGAAACACGGCAAGTCCTGTCAGAACACAGTCCCAGTGAATGCAAAAAGGTTACTGTAATTTATTCCTTTGGGAAGCTGAATGGATTTATAGACCATGTAGAAGTTGGACTCTTGCCAACCTTCTGCTATCTAACTTCTTAATTTTAATGTAGTTGAATTTATCAATCTTTTCTTTTATGGCTGGCATTTTTTTATGTCTTATTTAAGAAAGCCCTTTTTAAAAAAAAACAACTCTGATGCCATGAAGATATTCTCTTTTATTATATTGTGAAAGCTTTATGTCTTTGCCATTCACATTTAGGTTCAATCATCCATGTGGAGTGTGTGTGTGTGCGTGCGTGTGTATGTGGTGTGACGTAGGAATTTATTCTAATGTGCTTTCATGTAGAAAAATAATTTTTTGTAATTTTCATAGCCACTTGCTTTGTCCACTCTTTTGCTCAAACCCGTTTATTATTTAAGCTTCCTAAGAGGCCTTTGTCTTTGTCAGGACGACCATTCTAGAGTGTCGTCCTTCAAAATGTCTTGGCTTTCCTTTACCTTTTGTCTTCCCTATTTTATAATCATCCTTTAAGTTTCAAGAAAAATACTCTTGAGATTTGGTTTGCGTTACATTTCATTTGTAGACTGATTTAGGGAAAATGACATCATTATGACGTCAAATCTTACTACCCATAAATATGGGAATTCTCTCTATTTTGTAGTTCTTATTTAATCCCTTTCAATATAGCTTATAGTTTTCTCCACTAGGGTTTGTACTCTTTTGTTTGTTCAGGTTTATGTTTTTAGAAACAGTGCTTTGTATTTTTCTCTTGTAAACGCCGTCTTTAAAAACTTAAATTTTCTAGTCATTTGTTAGTTTTGCATTCCAAACTCCCCGTGTTTACCACTGCCTGTACAGTTTCTCATCTGCTGCCCAGAAGAGAACCCCTGTGTGGACAGGGCCCCCCACCCTTGCTGTCTGTCAGTGCAGGTGTCTAAGTGAACTGGCTGGTCCCGCGGGGTGGTGGGAATGCAGAGGAAGCAAGAAGGCTGAGATGTGGAGGCCACAGAGCGGCCGGCACTTTGTTCAGTGACAGAGGTTTGAGAATCACCTCTGGGTCCCACGGACAGTGAAGGAAGTGAATAGGGGGGCGCAGTACCTTTCTCCTCAGATACCCTGCCCGGCACGATCCCGAGGTCCTGAGTCCTCTCCAGTGGCTTCTGTGGCATTTCAGGCAGACAGTGATGATACGTGGGCTGCCTACGAGCCAATTTCTGGGGGGCAGCCCCATTCCAGCCGGATTTCTCAGGTATACCTCAGGTCACTGGGTATGATTCTCGCTTTCAGATGAGGCACCCAGGTCCGGGGTAGTGAAAACAGGTATCCGGAGTCCTCCGGTCAAGCTGGGGTACAAAGGCAGTTCTCCTCACACCCAGACCGGGGCTCTCTTCACCTCTCGCCCCGAGGATGTGCAGATGGTCTCTGCAGTGGAATGGTACAGTGCTGCAGGGGACCTGGGTGTGTACACAACTGTACCGCAAGTCTGTAAAGAGAGGATGTTGGCAGCGAAGTCTGAGTGTGACCCTTGTGTGATTATAGCTACCTGCTAAGTCGTTCTCGTCCTCCCTCCCTCTCCCTCCCCACTCTTTCTCTCTCCTCCCTTATGCTATTTATCTTTTCCCAAATCCATCACTCTTTCGTCCCTATCCCACTGCATTTATATTTTAGGACCTAGGGCAGATATTTGCTTCCCTCCGGGAGTTAACCCTTAGTTCATCAGTGTTGATAGCATTGCAGATTCCTCGTCCACCTTGCCAAGTGCTGACTGCTTTTTACCTTCCGTCGCATCCTGTGGTCAATACGTGTCCCATTCCTCTTTCAGGAATGAAAATAATACGTGCCGTAGGAGTTTAAGTTGATATTAAAGAGGTTTCCTCATAGAAAACAAGGTTAAAGAAAAGAGCGACTGGCTACTTGGAAAACCTGATAACGCTGTCTGTTTTCCTGTGCTGTCTGTGGGTTCACGTGAGCAAGGCCAGATATTATTCTGTACACAGCAATGTCTCCACGGAGAACGAAGACTGGATTTGTTGGAATAGCAATAAAAGAGCGTGTCTGAGAGGAAGAGGGGCCAGGACGAAAGGGATGCGAGCGCTGGACCAGCATTGCCCCCCTTAAAAAAGAAAGATCATACAGCCTAGGCTCGGTCTAAGCTCGCACGCCTCCCTCTGCCTGTGAACCCCCGACCCTGTTAGACACCCCACTTCTTGTGGCTTCAGATGTTCTCTTCCAAGCTTGTGAATCTCGATTCCTCTAAAGATTAGGCGTTCCTGAAGGACACGGTCTTTCATGTTTCTGAGGCTTGGCTTTTTGAGAAAGTTCACCATACATTTGTGCTATTTTTAAGTTTTGAAAGTTTCCCATCATTCCTTTGCAACAGGGGAAAACTCTCTGTGTAGTAAACGATTCCGAGTCTATGAACACAAAATAGAGACTTTCTTTAAACAGTTCGTTTTGAGATGTGTTTTTAGCTCCTTAGTCCCCACTACTGCTTGTCCTTCCCTTCCCTTTCTCTCCCCTCCCTTCCTTTCTCCTCCTGTCCTCCCCTCCCCATCTTTCTCTTCCTTTCCTTATTCCCTAATTTTATCAGAATCAAAGAGTTGCATGGAATCAGCAATCCACACCACAAAAGCTTCCTCACCTAGAGGCTCCAGGTGTGATGCTTATACTTGACAGAACGTGTGTGTTCGCTCTGTTTGTCATGTGCATTGTTCCAGAGAGGGAGGAGGTATTTAGGGAGTAGTTGAGAGGAGATTTCTAGCTCCTTGTCAGATCTCATAGTGACATAAGTGTGTTCCAGTTGGAATTGCTGTTGGCTTGCGGGATCTTCTGCAGCTGGTTTAAACCTACAGCCTAAAGGCTGAGTTTGTGCTGGTCAGTGTGACTATGTCAGGATAAAAGTGTCCTCTGTGTCATCCCTGAAACTACCATGACTCCCAAGCATGACAGCACAACGACCGTTGTGACCTCAGTATGAGGTCTACTGAATCAGTATTCAAGAGAATAACACCAGGTAGCTTAACAGGAAGGATTTAATAAAGGAAACCAGTTACAGAGGGGTTGGAAGAGCTGACCGTGTGCTAAAGGACAGAGACCATCAGGAAGCTGGCTCTTCTACATCTGTTGGCACTAGGATGATGCGATTTTGTCAGAGTTTGGAGCAAGTGCTCATGAAGGACAGGCCACACCAGAGAAAGGCCAGGGTTTGCAGCTGCTGGAAGCATAGCATTAGCTGCACAGTAAATGTACAAAGCCCGCAGGGGTGGGCTGGACCCAGGAGAAAATCACACTTCAGTGGATGCTACTTGAAGCAGAGAAAGGGTGGGAAAGGTGCTGATTTCTCCTCCAGCCTCCTGTCTCCTGCCAGTCTTTCCCATTAAGGAAACCTTACTGGGAGACCATTGGCAAAGAAGCCTGAGAAGTGTGGCTGGGATCAACTTTCTCTAGCAGCCAACAGAGCAGGACAACAGGCCAGAATGGGATCTAGGGGAAATAGACCAAGGGCTTGCTGCTTTCCTGGGAAAGCGCAGGCCATTGTTGCTTGACAGCAGGGACATATGCTGGGGAGTGTGTCCTCGGGCAGTTGTGTTGTGTAATCATAGACACACTTACCCAGACTGGATGGGACAGATCCATCCAGATGTCCTCTTGTGGCATGTGACTAGCTACCTTGAAGAAATGTTTATGAATATTACAGAGTTAAGGGAAAACAGTGAAGTGAAACTCTTTGTTAGGATTCACTTCTCATCCCCTCAGCCTTCCTGCTGCATCACACCTGTCCTCCCTGTGGCGGGAAGTTGAAAGGTCTCTGCTCCCAATGGCCCATCTGTCTTGTCAAGGGAACTCTGAGCCCGGAGCCCTGGGGAGTAAGGTGGCAGCACAGGACTGACTACACAGTCCCTTTTCTGCAATTCTAGAAACTGAAAGACCCTGGGATTCCACATATTTTCGGTAACTTGTATAGTGGTGAAAAACCTGCTGTGACCTTTACTGCATGGGGCTGCTTGGAATCTGTTGATCCCTCTCGGTGGGGATGGCTGAGCATTTTACTCCAGAAGCAGTCCCAGATCTGAGTACAGGGTGTCACCCCACACTTCAGTAGGCTTAGGGCAAATAAAAGGCAAGTGTATGGTACAGCATATGCTGCCTGCCTGAAATAAAGTCTGCCTTCTAAACGCATCAGGTGCCGGGGAATTTAGCGGAGGCTTCGTGAGCCTGTGTTTCAGCACTGCAGAGGTTGAGCGAATGGAAGTGTGGTCCAGTGGTAACCTGTAGCTTGTGCACACTGTGGCCCCCGTGGAGTCCCGGAAGCCCTGTGGCCTAGCAAAATAGCTGTCTGTCCTGCAGATGAGGAAACTGCTGTGAATCCAGCCTGGGCACATCCATTCCAAGGTTGCCCAAGGATTCCTAGTGCAGCTGGACCTTCTTCTGTTCGTTTCCCTTGGCAGGGAAAGAAAATTTGGTCTGATTCTTGGGTTCCGTGCACTCTAACATTTAAGTGCTGGATGAAAGGTAGGAAGGCAGCAGGTGAATATCTAGGTAAAACCATAGTGGTCACAGTAATCTTACATGGATGTGGGCAATGAAAGGCCTATGCTTGGACACTGGCTGACCAGCACACAGTCTGCCTGCTCTGGGTCTCTAGAATGGAGCTGGGGGTGCCCTGGACAATGAAGATGATGAAGATGCTGGTGATTCTGATGGGAGATAATGCACCTTCTCTATCCATACCAAGAGAACTAAAGGCTTGGTGTGAGAGTACCCTGATGCTTCACCTATTATCACCTTCTCCGTTTAGTTGAATTACTTCACCCATTGGCTCAGAGTTTATTAAGCACAAAGGTGAGCTCCATGGGTATGGTCATACACCTGGGTGTGGTGATGACCACCTGTAACTCTCAGCTACTTGGGAGGCTGAGGCAGGGGCATTGCCAGTTTGAGGGCAGCATGGGACCAGGTAGCAAAATACAAAATAAAAGGGCTGGGCATATAGCCCAACTTAGTGGTATAACACTTGCTAGCATATGCAAGGCCCTGAGTTCCATCCATAGTATGCCTCCTGCAAAACAACCAGACTTTTCTTTCTCAAGATCCAGTAATCGTCAGGCTAGCACAGATAAGCAGACAGGAAGGTGGTGGCTAAGGACAACCCAAAAGGTGTTCACTGGGGTAAAACAGTAAGACAGGGATCGGCTCAGGAAGGGACAACATGTAAAGATTTTGAGGGTCACTTAGAATTTGCTGGTGGGTCTTTCATGCAGTAACTATGTTCTGGAATCTGTCTGTGCTGGATCCAGGCTTACAGGGTTGGTGTGACAGGAATTGTTGTGGCCCTCAGAGTGTGTGTAGTCCATTGTGGAAGACACACATCAGCCCTAGGGGTCAGGGGGATGTGAGAAAGATGGAAGTGAGTACCACTGAGGTAATTTGGTGCGGGTGGGTCATGGACTGACTGGTGGGTGGCAGGAGTCAGGGGAAATGAGGCTGGACCATTGCCAGGACCGGTGCGGTGTGGGTGCCCCCAGAGCCCCTAGTCTTAGCAATGAGAGTGTGGTTGGGTAGATTCTGTCAGAATTGCCTTTCCTGATTCACCAGTAGCCTGGGATCAAAGACTAGTCTACAAAGAAATACAGTTGTGTTTACTTAGGCAAAGGGTGTGTGTGTGTGTGTATATGTGTATCGGGTGAATTGTGTCATGAGTGGTCTTACCTGTGTCTCCCATTGTAAGAACTGCTAGCTCAGGTGCCTGCGGTCTCCCTCAGGTCTACCTGGGGGAGACTGGCCAGGTGGGGAACAGGTGAGCCCCTGTTTGGCCCCAATCAATAGTCACATGAAGAAACGCTGTACTGATGTAGCCAGGCCTTTGTTTGTTTCAAGAAAAACTAGAAGTCTTGCTTTTTGTGTAAAGCCTTCTTTTAAAAATTTTGGCACTAAATCAGTTAAAACAAGTAGCAAGACGCTTTGTGGGGTAAAGATGTTTAGCCTATGGGTTGTCTTTTAGCTTATGCATAAACCACTGGTGAACTCTGCCCTGCTGTTTATAATTAGTATATTGTAGCTGCATGAATCTCCCTTAAGTGCATATCCCATCAATATAACAGGGATATTTGGCCATATACCAGGGATAAACTGGGCCAGCTTTGGCAAAGGGCAATACACCTGCAAGATAGCTAAATGGCACAAATTGGTCCTCATTTGTTTGTATGCCTTCAGTCACCTCGCTTGACCTTCTCGTCACACATTTGGGCTACTCGGTAAAAACTTCAGTAGACCAGGTCCACGGTAATCCAGTGTTTTCTTCGCAGTGTCCTGGGCAGCACTGATTTTGCTGTCTGTCTAAGTCCACAGCTGCCTTAATTAAACGCATTATGTACAGCCCAGGAGGGCAGCCCCTGGGAGGAGTCAGATGAGCAGAGTTAGGGTCTGTAATGACGACGCTTCCTCGCTTTATCTTTCAGGGTTGCGACTCCCAGCCCCTGAAATATGCACATTTCAATCCAGAGTGAGAACACAAGCAACTTAGTAGTTACTGTGGAATTGAGTGAATGTCATAAATATTTATTTATCTTTTTCATAGCTGGCATAAAAATATTAGGATATAAAAAGTTGTTCGGTATAAAAACAACAGAAAATTCATTGGCTATACATCTCCTGAATGCGTGTGTCTCTTCGGGTTTTCATTAGCGTCTAGCAATAGACTTTGAGAAATTAGATTTGAACAGAAGCTGCAGCAGAATGTGAAAGTGCCTCCTGCTCATAATTAACCTGTTTTAAGCAAGGATCTATAATACACAGCAGCCTCTTTTTAACCGTGTAGTGGCTATAGGCATGTGGAATGTCTTTGCCTTTCAGAATTTTTAAAATAAAATTGTGTCATGTTTGTTCCATTTGGAAAACACTAGAAAGTATAAGAGAGGGGGAAACCCACATAGATTTCTTTCTACCCAAAGGCAATCACTGTTTCATGTTTTGAACAGTAGGGACAAAATGGCTCCAGTTTGAGGTGAGACCAGGATGGGTTTCTGCCCTGATCATCCTCCATTTACTTAATCTGAATCTTAGTTTTCTCATCTGTGAAATTGAAGTAAAGGTATATATTGTATCTTCTATTTTGATTGTTACAGCAGATAGTGCATTTTAGAATTTAGCACTTTGCTTGGCACCTAGAAAACATCGGAAAAAAAAACTATCATGATTAATTTTTCTATTTTTGCTATAAATGTTTTACTTAATGAAGCTTATACTCTTATGTTCAAAAAACCTTATATTCTGATATCTCCTTTGTAAACATTTTTTATTTATTTATTTATTTATTTATCTATTTTTTTTTCAGTACCGGGGATCAAACCTCTGATCTTGCATTTGTGAGGCAAGCCATGGAACCACTGAGCTAAATCCCTGGCCCTGTAAATCCTCTTTAAATGACCTTTAAACAGGTATAGACTATGTAGCAAGTGTATCATAATTTAACCTCTTCTTTTCTACTTTTTTATTAAAAAATAATGCTTTGATGAATATTTTCTGGGTGACTAACATCTTCATCTATTGATCTTCTGTTCTGGCTTGCTTTTAAGGTTAGTTTAGTGATTACATTTTCACGGGGTGTAGGCAGTCATAGCCAAGATTTGTCATTGGAACAGTGAAGAGGCCTTCTGTGTCCATGATGTCCAGTGTGACAGCCACCAGCCACAGGTAGCTGTTCAATGTTGAGAATAGCTAGTGTGACTGAGAAACTGAAACTTTGAAAACATTGTTTGCATATGATTTTAGTTTAAATAGAAGCTGGTGGCTCCCATCTTGAACAGCATGACCTCATACTGCTCAAAGAGGATAGTGCACTACGCTGAGATTTTGCATTTATGCAGACACATATTCAGAT